GGTAAGGTTACATGTTGACATAACAATGAGCAGAAATGGGAGGAAATATTTATAATCAAACTCACCAGAAATGTGTTTTCATTGACTAATTTTGATGGGATGAAGTCGACAGATTCCTCTGGATGATGCTTATCTGGGGGTCACCAAAATAGCCAGCTGGATAGCTCCCTGTTTTGTTTTCCACTGCCCCTATCATCTGCTGAGGCCCTGGAATCCATTATCACACCCTTGGGCCTTCAGTATGCTGATCCCAAAAGTTGTCCTGACCAGACCGAGTCAGAGAGAGGGAACCAGATGATACCACCCTGTTACAATCACCACCTCCATTTGCTTTGACTAATTCCTGAACACCTGGGATGTGAACCTGAATTCCCTGCTGCTATTCCCTCCTTGGTGTGCACCGTTGATTACACTGCTAAATTATAAACTGAAATGCACAAAAGTCTGAGGCGATCGCTGCCTTTCTACGTACTGAAAAGGCCTATGACCTGCTATGGAGGGAAAGCTTATTGTACAAAGTAGGTGCAGTAGGGATGACAGAAATAAGGTAGGGGTGGATTAGAGAATTTTTGAGTAAAAGGAGTGTGCAGATCAGAGTTGGGAAAGTTATGTTGAAAACATACAATTTTAAAAATGGTGTACCACAGGGAAGTGTTATCAGACCACTATTACGATAAATGATCTCCCAAAATAAAGAAATACGAGGTAGGTGTCACTTTGTTTTCAAATGATTGTGCTCTGGGTGTGAGGAGCAGAAATACTGAGGTGGCAGAAAAGAGAATCAGCAAAGCATCACGAGAGACTGAGGAAATGCATGGGGTTTCAAGTTCTCCTTTGCTAAAACCAGAGGACTGATCTTTACGAAGAGGAAAGTTACAAAGGACTGTAAACTGTGTGTGAATGGAGAACAAATAGATAATCAAATTCTGAGGGGTAATATTTGATACTAAAGTTACTTTGGAAAGACCATATAAACAATGTTAAAGATAAATGTACAGGAAGGATTAACCTGCTTAAAAGTCTTGTTGGGACTAATTGGGAGGCAGATAAAGCAGATATGGTATACGGAGCCATAATCAGACCAATTATTGACTATGGCTGCTAAGCCTTCGGGTCAGCATCAAAAATCAGAACTTAAATAATTAGATTTAATGTAAGCCCAGGCACTACAAATTGCATGCAGTGCATTTATTACAACACCTATATGCTCACTACAGATAGTTTCTAGTAAAATGCCAGTTACACTATGAATAAAACCACTGGGACTTACTTTCTGAGCTAAAGTTACTAGGAACCACAGTGATGAAAACACCAAACAAATAGATGAGGATTGTTGAGAATTCGATAGGCAAACTATAGCACGTGATGTGAGAACTCCACATGCCGTTCGAGTAAGTGTGGCTGCAGGAGTTGAAAGACCAGGAAAAACTGAACAAAGTCATAACTTTTAGACATGGGAAAATTAGTTACGGATGGCAGGTTGCATGACCAAACATGGATTTAGATGTACTTTATAAACTTAAGGGTATAAAAAAGAGAGTAGGTATTAAAAATGAAGTGTACCAATATATAAATGAAAAGTGGTGTTGGTTTTGTCAAATGTATACAGATGGGTTGGGAAAAAAAGAGGAAGAGTAAGGACGGCATATTGTACACCAAAATTGGGAATTAGTACCTCATTCTGTAGCTGTCATGACAGCCAAACTAGTAGCAACAATGTTAGTGTTAAACTGAATCTGAGATGTACGCCCAGCAGCTGCGGTCATTTTAAAAAAATTCAATCTCTGGTCTTAACGGTGATAAAAAAGGGTGTCTTGGAAGGTAGAAGTGATTTAATCAATGAAATTATATTTCTAATAACAGAATTAGTGCAGATGGGGATACATGTAGCATTAGTTTGGATCATAGTGCATCTTGGGATAAAGGGGAACAAAATGGCGGTCAAAGCAGTGAAAAATGCTGTAAGAATTGGAAGGATTGACACAGTAGCAATATTCTTGAGTAAACAGGAATTCAAAAGCCCAATACAGACAAATTTAAAAGAGGAATGGCAAAAAAAATTGGATTAATGAAAAAAGAGGAAGATGGATTTTTTTATTTTTTTTTTGTAACTTGTGCCCTAGAGTTAAGGATTACGACATACTTCAGGGCCTGAAGTGCTTTTGTTTTGAGTATTAACTGGCCATTGTCCCCTAAACAAAAATCTTATTCAAATAAATGACACACAGATGAACTAACTTCACTCTGTACGGTGGAAGAATCAATTGATCACCTTTTATGGGTGTGTCAGGGCTTTCATACAGAAGGGGAAAAGCTTGTTGAGGAATTCAAAAGTCTTAAGATAAAAAAAACTATTGTTTTTTAGTAAAAATATCAGGAAATGGAGTATTACTAAAAAGGTGCTGATACATTACCTGAAAGACACAGGGCAGAGCAAGAGGATATAAACCACTAAGTATGGAGGAATTATAGCTGGAGGTGGCTTGATTATTAGTCAAGTCTGCTTCGCCAAGAAAAAGGCTGCAATGGAGGTAGTCTGCAGTAACTCCCTGGAAGAAGGGAGTTTGGGCTGGTAAACTCAGAGAGATGGAGAGGCCAGAAGATAAGAGCAGAGAAGTAGGATGGAGTCCAGGGGAAACAGCAAAGGAGTCAGGGTGCAAGCAGTTATAGGGTCCCTGGATTTGAACCTGGGTAATGGGGAGGTGGGCCTGGACTCCCCTACCAGCCACTGCGGAAGTGGCACAGTCTGGGCAGTGGACCAGAAGACTGCCTGAGACAGATCATCCAGTGGGACTTTGATACACCGGAAGGGGAGGACTATAGTGACCTGGCTGGAGGGCTGAGTCATGAAGGAGTACCTGAAGTTCTAGAGAGAGGACCATACTGTGAGGAAAAGGGCATTGGACCTGGAAGGAGCTAATCCCCTAGGCAGTCAGGAGGAGGCGCCTATTAAGTGTGCTGTGAAAAGTGATATTAACAAACATACAAATATCACTGTTCACAGCATTACTGAGTCCGCAAAAAAGTCACCTTACATAAATAAATTACAATGATTTGGATTTGTATATGTGCATATTTATTTGTTTTTCCTAAAGTTAATTAAGTATTTTAGGAAAAAGTGTCACCAGCGAGAGTTGGTGGCTGCACTCTGAGGCTACCAAAAAATTTGGTGTGAGAACCCCTATTGACTTTTTCTCAAGAACAGTAGCTACCACATTTAATACCATAAAAAAAACTATTAAACAAGGTATTTTCTCCTAGGAAACACTCTGTATAACAGGAAAAGGAGTAAGAAAAATGGTTAAAATAGGTTTTTACTTAACTATTTGAGCTTCAAATGCTTTAATTGTGTTCTCTGTGTTAATAAACAGTATTTGTGTTGGTTATAATGGGAGTCACCAGCGATATTTTGTCACAAAACTGTGGACCACAACTAATTGTTTGTTCCATTCCCCATTGCGCCCATGAAACCCCTCCCCGCTTTTCATTACAACATACCTCTTTGATAAATACAACGCTTCAGGCTCCAGAGCTGTCAAAGCAGCAGGGCGCTAAAATCCTAGAAGGACGCATTATGGGCTTTTCCTTTTTTTCAAACTGAGGCCAGTTCTAAAGAGAAAACTCTGGTCCTGATTCTCATGCACATCAAGGGCCCTGTACAGCCCTGTTTCAATGTGAAAGGGCCTTATGGAGAGCAGTATAAAATGGTCTCAATATAACTGGGGAAAAGACCATCTGCCTCTTCACCGCTAGGTGGCAGTGCAGCAACATACATCCCCATGGCTTTTGAAACTAAATTTGTGTGCTAGTATCTAGTTATTCTTTCACTTGGCCTATGATTTGCCATGATGCGTGCCTTCATTCAGCCAAACCACATACAGTCAGCTAGAAAGGATGGACATGCAGGGCTTCAGCAAAAATTAGATCTAAAAATCTTGTGCTACATGGAAAATGGAAATTGGCCAGATTTTGGCCATACATGTTTTGGGGGATAGGAATGTTCCAAAATGTATTTGTAATGTGTACGGGGTAGAGATGGGGGGAGACAGAGATAACTCTCTCCCCTACTATAAACAATCTGTTCCCTGGTTCTGCACATTCAGTAACTGTCCAAACAGGGAACCAACTTCTCTCTCTCTCTCTGTATTTTCATTTGCTAAAACACTGACAAAAGTGATCAAATGTTTCACAAGTTTGAGTGGGCTGCTGTACAGTCACATCACCAAATAATACCAGCCATGTCCCCATCATAGCAATGGAACTAAGATTTAAGAGTAATTTAAAAAAATACAAATGTAAAAAATGTAACATCTTATTTTTTTAAAAATGATAATAATTGGAGATTATGGAAAGATAATGAAACATCTCATAAGTCTTAAAGCCCCATTCTGCTTTCCAGTGTACCCCAAGCTCCCATCTACTTCAGTAGGACTTTGGGGGGCACAAGGAATATAGGATCAAATCCCTTGTGTAAATATGTAAAACAATCCTGTTTAAAGGCTTGATCCTATGCTCATAGAAGTCAATGGCAATTCTCCCACTGACAATGATGTGGGGATACAGAGCAAGTAATTCTCCACAATAACCAAAAAGAAAACAATTTATTTAAATATGTGGTGTCAAAAATGGTTTGGAGACTGGTACATTATAACATTTCCCTGGGACGGGGGTTCGCCGTCCTCTGCAGCGTGGGGCACGGGTCACTTGCTGCAGGATTCTCTGCACCTTGAAGTCTTTAAACTACAAGTTGAGGACTTCAATAGCTCAGACATAGGTCAGGGGTTTGTTACAGGAGTGGATGGGTGAGATTCTGTGGCCTGCGTTGTGCAGGAGGTCAGACTAGAAGATCATAATGGTCCCTTCTGACCTTAAAGTCTATGAGTCTATAACAAGTTGTATTTTAAGCCCAGCCACCTCACATTTTAGTAGTTAGTAAAGTGCAGACATTAGACTCCGAAATTCTTTCACTTTCATTTTTCCCTCATGCATAGCCTTTTTAAACCCTATAAATAATTTTGTCAGAACAAGTCAGTTAAAAAGGCACTTTTCATTTATTGTACCTCACAGCTGCATACTCGGTCTGGAACAGAAAAAGGAAAGACCAGATATTAATATTCTTAATGCGAATCTATAATCTCATACATTTAACTAGTACTACTTATTAGGTAACAAGACAAGAAACCAAATTCTACTCTCACTCACACTGATGTAAAACTAGAGTAACTCCTCTGAAGTCAATGGAATTCAATTTTATGTCAGTGTAAGTGAGAGCAGAATATTGTGTAGAAGCATTTTACAAAAAAAGAGGTTAGATTCGGATCTGATCTACACTGGCATAAATGCACAGTAACTTCACTGAAGTCAATGGGCTGTTGCAAATGACAGAGAAATATGACCCAAAAGATGCAGTAGTAACCACAAGCTAAATTCTCATCTCCGTTACTGCTGGGATTGGAGTTGCATCAGTGTATCTGCTACAAGAATTAGACCCCCGCCCCCTGTTGTTAGAGCTGTTCCATTCTAAATTCCTATTTTCAGTCTTCTTTCCTTCTCAAAATTCCTAGAAGGATTAAATGTTTTAACATCTAGTCTGGGCCATGATGTGATTTTTTTTTTTAAAGTTTGCAGGCCATTAGTTGGCTTGCTTTTGAATTATGGGAGAGTGAAAAATATTTAGGCCAAATTATGCCAGACCAATGTTGATTTGAATAATTCCACTAATGCCAATGAGGAGGTAACTCGATGTATGACCATGTAACTTGGAGCAACATTTGGATGAATGTGACCAACCGTTCAGACTTTTTTTCTTTTTTGGTCCATGTAAAACTCATAAGCATAAAAAGCACGGCTTCATCCACCACTCGGGCAGGCAGGAATGTGGTAATACAATAGCGCAATTCTGCACCGGCAACCCTACAAAGCAGTTGATGTCTACATTAGGAGGGAAATGAAAGAATAGCTTCTTCACGTGAGGGTCAGAGGAAATCAAGTAATCGGAATGTAGCCACCAGTGTCGGAATTTGGCCAGGACACTAGTTTAACACCCTATGAATATACTGTATCTTTCTGACGTAAAAAAGCACTTTACCTGTGGAAGGTGCCTCATAGGTATTTGATTCCCTGTTTGCACAGCTTTCCCTGCTGGAGAAGAACAAAAGGACAGTTACAGGGATATGTGCTGAATGGCTGCTTCCTAGCAGATAGAGTTATAAACAAGTTACCTCTGGTGGGACACTTTCTGAAGAGCAGGATCAGCAGCTGGATGACGACAAGGATGAAAATACAAGACAGCTCAACATATAACACATAATTGCAGATGAGGCCAGGAAAGAAAACTGCAGAGAGAAGAGAACAACGTTAGGTGCTGAGCAAAGATTTGTTAGTGGAAAAATCCCATTAAAAAGCGTGGATCTGTGTCATCTACTTCTCCTGGAACGCCATGCACAGAAGTGAGGCCTTACCTCCAAAATCCACCATCTCGGGTCATTGTCACACTCCCCACCTGGAGGTGGCACTAGTGGGGCCAGCTGACCACTTGGCTGGATTCAGGCCATTGGTAGTCCGAGGTAAGCTAAGTCTTTTTATTTATTAACTCTGCTTGCCTGCACTGTGCATTATTTTATCAAGAGGTGATTTATTTCAGCCTAAGAATCACTGATCCAGTCTGAGAATCACTGTTCCACTGATGACTAGAGTGAGTTAAACTGAATTAGAATGAAAACCCTTTTAGGGAGCATCATAGAATCATAAATGTTAGAGATAGCAAAGGCCTGTGATTGTAGGTCTTATGTAGTTCACCTCCCTGACTAGTCCCTACAGTAGACTCACTAGTGCTTTATCCAGTCCAACTTTAAATAAGGCTTCATCTTTGTCACTTGAGAGACAAACCCACAACCCAATAGATCTCATTATCGGGAATCCTGGGTATTCATCCTACTTTTTCCTTTGCTCAGTTCACTCCCATTGTCCTAGTTATTCCATCTCAGAGCCCCCAAGCCATTCTCCTGTCTCTTTGGCATTAACACTCCTCAAACACTTGTAGAAGCAGTGCTCAGATAGCGCCTGACCCAAGACTGACTGAAGTCTATGTGACTCTTTCCACTGACTTCAATGGGCTTTCAAGCAGGCCCATAAGGAGAAAGATCTAGGGGCAGTTTTGCCACAGATCCCACTTCTTACCACTGCTCATTGAATAAAACAGAAAAATGGTTTTAAGTGAGAGCGAGGAAAGGCGGGTGACAGGGGAGCTACCAGAACGTTCTCTCACAATTTGATGCCATGGCTGTGTTGGTCCCAGGATATTAGAGAGGCAAGGTGGGTGGGGTCATATCTTTTATTGAACCCGCTTCCGTTGGTGAAAGAAACAAGCTGTCGAGCTACACAGGCCCGGAGAAGAGCTCTGAGTAGCTCAGACTTGTCTCTTTCACCAACAGAGTTGGTGCAATAAAAGATATTACCTCACCCACCTTGTCTCTCCCACAATTCAAGCCCTCTAGGTAGTTTTTATACCTAGTCCCCACTCCCCCTCATTTTAGTTATTTAGCTCAGCAGTAACCCTTTAGATCTGTGTTTTTGTTCTGACGTGAGGTGAAGTTTTCACCAGACACCAGATATAAATGTCTTGGGAGACAGAACAGGTTAGATAGGATATGATACTGGACCTGTTTCCTTGGAGACTGTAGCATTGATGCTTCTCCCCGTGCTGTTCTCCTTGGCTGTACAAGCGCAGATCATCTCCTGCTTCCACGTCTCAGAAGGGATTGTCGTTAGGCTCCAAACACTAAAGACCCCTTCCCCGTCTATGGCTCCAGCATCCATCTGACTCTCAGATGCCTCCTCACCAGTGTCCCAGAGAACAGCACTCCAGGGAGGAGTGAAATCAGAGAGCAGGCAGAGCAGAGGAATGACGGGGGGAAGCTCAGCATCCTCTGGGGTGGAGGGAACCAGGATGGAAAGTCTTGGCTCAGAGGCATCTAAAAGAGAGTTCAGTCACCCAAAATAGAGACCGGAAAGACCTGTTACCTGTAGCTCAGCTAGTCCCTACCCAGCTCCTGCCCCTGCCAGTGGAGAATATTTTAAGTATCTAGTGCATTGTCTAGTCTAGTCTTCCGTGTCTTAAATGGTGGGACTTCCCTTGCACGAAGGGGATTTCTCTTACTAATTTCATCCCATTACACTCCTTCGTCCCACCCCAAACGGTTCCCCTGGCTCCTTGATGGTCTTAATATTCTGAATACGTGCAGAGGGTGGAGATTCAAAAATTAGACACCTCTTTACTACACTGTATTCTTATGTTCAACTCCTGCTGAGTTTCTCGAGTAAAAAGCTTCCCCGTGCAAACCACATTAGTGAATGCCCAGTAAAGAGCCGGATTAATAAAGTTTTATAAGGCCAGCAGGAAGATGCATCACATCCCAGGCTCAGGTGGCTTTCACTAGGTACAGTCCGTGAGCGTGCCTATGAGAAGGTAGGATAGTACTAACAGCTAGCACTGTTGCATTTCTCATCAGTAGTTAGAGATCAAAGCACTCTACGGAGGCGAGTCAGAGTTATTACCCCATTTTAGTTGCAGAGTGATGGGTGGCCAATGATTCAGGATTACAATCCAGGTTTCCTAATTCACAGTCTCATACAGTATCCACTACCTGGATTGTTCTACCTCTTGGCATAAACCACTGATGACTTAAAACTGAAATGGGGTGGGGGTGGGGGTCAGATAATCACAATTGCAAGATTCTGTCTCAGAACCAGGGCCATAACCAGGACGGGGCAAGCGGGGCAGCCACCCAGGGCGCAAAGCTACAGGGGTGGAAAAAAGGGGCGGAAAGGAAAGATCGGATCCCTCCTGCCCCTTCAGCTCCCTCCCCCTGAGGGCCCCAAAGGCTCTGCCAAGCCCTTCAGGGGCCCTCGAGGTCTCTCCATACCTGCCTCCCAGGCTTCCCTTCAACCACAGCTCTTGGCTTCCCATGTCCCCCTCCCCAACTCCCGCAGTCACTCCCCCCACCAGCTCCCCTGCACCTGCCCCAAGCCACCCTTGTCTTTGTTCCTCTCTCTCCCCTGTAGGCTCCTGTCCCCCAGCTCTCCGAACCCCTGGTGGCCCCACTGCTGGAGCTGCCCAAGCAGGGAATGCAGTCAGCCGCCCCCGGCCCCTGCAGCGGGTGCAGCACGCCCCCTGCCCCCCGATCTGGAAGCTGGGGGATCCCCAGCACAGCGAGCCCCAAAGCCTGGCACTGGGCGGTGCAGGCCGCTAGCAGCAGCAGGGGGCTTATAGGCGTGGCTCATCGTCTGGGCTCGCGGCAGAGGCTGATGCTCGGGGGTCTGGGCTCAGAAGCTCACCGCAGCACCCCACAGCCATTTTTATCCCTGTGGGAGCCTGGCTGGGAAATTCTCAGGGCCAGCAGGAGGCAGAAGGGCCATGACTCAGTTGGCCTCCACTTGCCCTGACCCTGCTCTGCTGTGGCTTGCCATGCAAAGGCCTGCGGCAGCTCCCAGGGATCGGCTCTGGAGCCAATGGCTGGGCCATCCCCGCAGCAACCCCAGCCAGCCCCCAGCCACCAGGGCAAGACAAAAACCAGTAGGGCTTGCCCCAGGCGCTAAAATGCCTAGTCACAGCTCTGCTCAGAACCCCTCAGACCTCTGGAATGTCATTGTCCCAACCCACTGGAAACTCACCTGTGACAATCAGCCTGGTCCCATTCCCGAAGTTCGGATGTACATATACAGCAAGGCCACAGAAATACACCCCAGAGTCATTTCTTTGTACGTTGCTTATAATCAGAGTAAACGTGTTTGCCTGAATGTTCACTTTACTGGAGTATTTTTCATGTGGAAGTGCAGCAGACTCATAACTCTGGTAAATCCCGTGCAAACTTCCATTCTGAAGCTCTTTGTACCAGTACATATACTGTCTTCTTGTTGAAAGCTTACAGTGTATCTCTGCAGTTTTTCCAGAGGCCAGAAAGATCTGTGCTGGGCTCTGTTGGATCACTATCCCTTCCTGTGAAGCAGTCACTATAAAAAGAAACATAAAAACATGAACACATGAATCACTTGTAAGAGACTCACCCTTTGCAATATATGCAATATAACATGGCATCTGCTCCAAGCAAAATGCCCATTGTTTTAAAAATTGGGGTTGGGTTAACTTTATTTTTGTACTTATGCATTTTCTTAGGATTCATATACACTATAGGAAAATTGATGTATTTTAAACGAAACATACGTTGCTGAATTTTTTTTCTAGTATAGTATTTTTTGCTATATTGTCAAGTGTAGCATAGCTGTAACATAAACAATAATGACTGCACGCATGGATGCTAATCAATCCCTTTGCACATCTACATCACCTCTCATCCAAAGACATTGAAGCACTTATCACAATTAATTAAACCTCACAATCATACTAATAAATAATATTTAGGGTGACCTGACATCCCGATATTATTGGGACCGTTCCAATATTAGGGGCTTTGTCTTATATACACAACTATACCCCCCCAAAAAAGTGTCCCGATTTTTCACACTTGCTATCTGGTCACCCTAATAATATTCAGCACTTAGAGCCTGTCACATGATAATCAAACTGCTTTGCAGCTATTAATGAGTTAAGCCTCACAATTTTCCTGTGAGATGATGAAATATTATCCCTGTGTACAGCTGGAGAAACTATCACAGGTAAGTGGAGAGATTTGGCAAGGGTCCCACACATCAATGACATGATTTTGAATAAAACCCAAGTGTTCTGACTCCTGGGTCCTCTGCTCTATCCACTAGACTGCACTCTCCCATTCATATTAAGCTTGAATCAGAGTTAAAAACAATAAAATTAATGTTATTTGACCAAAATTGTACATGAAAGGGTGTGCTTTGACATTCAGGCTTAAAATCATCTTTTTGATTATCTATAAAAAAAGACTAATGCCCCTGGAAGCCTATATAAAATACATGAGCATAAAAGAGAACTGGATTTTGAACAACAATCCATTACAGTATCCAAAATGTTAAACTATATTCAAGGTGTTGTGGAGAGCACAACACATTATTTCATTACCTCTCTTAGGATTTCAGCTGGTGAACTAAAACATATGACTGTTAACTCTCCCCATCAGCTCCTCTTGGTGTTACCCGTATTTCAGAAGATCTTTGCACATGAAAGTAATTTTTTGTAGCAAGGTACAAAACAAGCATGAAATATCAGGCTAAAATACTTACTCTGCAGACAGAATAGAATCATCCAAATGATCTGGTAGGACATTTTCTGGCTTTCTTCAGTCGTGCAAAGTTGATGCTCTGAGAATGGTAGATGCCTGTTAGTTAATGGATCTCTTGATGAAAGACTTTATCACGTGGAGAGGAAGATGTCATATTTCCTCTTAAAGTTCTGTGGGGGCAACATGTGTGACAAAGGAGAGGGCCAGGAGATATTACTAACCCCATTCAAAATCTTACTCTGACAGCCAGCAGGGCAAATCTAGGGAATAATATTCAGTTGCCTCTAAAATTCATTACACAACAAATCTCGGGTCTGACTGTGTGACAGCAGAGTGTGTATTTTAAAAGGAATTTTTCATCTCATAATTGGATGGATGGGACAAGCCCTTCTTTGGACTGAAACTTATGTGGATTATTTTCTGTGCTTCAGGGTTTCAGACATTCAGACGTATTTGGGGGATGTTAGCCCCGATAGAAAGAGAATAAGGTGCGTGGCTCTGAAGAGTCGCCCTGATATTTTATCAAAGGATAGAGGAAATCATTGAAGAGGCTGGTCGTGCACTATGGAAGTGTGGGAAATGTACAAAAATACATTAGCTTGTTTGTTTAGTTATTATTGCAGATGAAATAAATGTTTTGGGAAGAGACCCAGTGGGAAAGGAATGGATGGGTCTAGAAAATGGAAGTATACGGTTATTCCAGTTGAGATCTTTGAGACATAACCTAATTGTGGGTCACACAGGTATGTGCCTAATGCATGTTCCTTGCAATAACATTCAAAATGAGTTAGAGAGAAAAAAGAACTGAAATACCCACGAAGATATTTCAATTCCTTTCTTGTAAATGTGTATTCAGAAACACGGTCATCTTACATATTTGAATATTCTAAAAAACCATTTGGAAATCATGTCTCATTGATGTCTATCTCATGGGAAGTTTAATACAATATGGCAATACTCGGACCTCACTAGCCCATGTCCCATATATGAGACTCCGGCTATTTCAACACCCATGAAATATAGGAGAAAACAGCTACTACCTGAAGCTTGTCTGTTGCATTTGTCACGGTGCTTAGAAATGTAAAATGTTATAGGAAGTAGCTGTGGATGGTTAATAGGCAAGTTTAAATTTTAAAAACACCTGGTGCATTTTACATTTTATAAATGTGATCAGTCTAATTGGGAATACATCACTTGGCTTCAATATTTTTTTTTTAATACAGCTACTTGATAGTTTGTGGATGGCTTAAAAAAACACACGACATCTTGAGAATTTAACCTATTGGCCAATCTCCTCATCAAAAATAGGCTAAAGCAATCTGAATGTTTGGTAAAAATAATTTCAAAACTTTTCTCATCTCGCCAACCACCTGTACATTGAATTCCATCCCAATGGGATATGAACCAGCAGAGATACTATGCCCTAAACACCAAAAGTTAGACAATACTGAGACACACTTTATCCTAATGACGTTTATACTATTACTATTTTATTTGTTACTTCTATAGTACTATAAGTATTTATAATACAGGTATGTTAATGATGTGGTGCTGACATGCCCATATGAAATTCCTGTCAATCAAGCCAATAATCTGTGCTATAATTGTAACAGAGAAGCAATTCAGGCATCTTGGTAGAGCTGTATGGGCGAAGATTGCAATGCTGTTGATTATGCTTTAACTGTTCCTCATTTTCTCCCTTCACTGCTACTAAATTTACTTACTTGTATTTAAAATAAAAATCCTCAACTTTTAAAAAGCTGCAGCAAAACCATAGAGTGCTCTATGGCTACTGTTTATCTGCTTGGTCCCTATTCATTCAATTAAAGGAAATGCAAAGTATTTCACCCAGTTGCATTTCTTTTATATACATTCATTATAAAATTGTTCTTCACTAATAAAGTCCAGTGGATGTTAAATGTTAAGACAAAGTTTAAAGCTACTGTAGGCACTCGATTTTTATTTCTATGATAAAAAGCCGCTAACCCAGGGTCTAAGCTGTTCTAACCAATTTTAGAAAGGCAGTCTGGAATATCTGAACTTTTAGGAGTACATTCTTCAAGTTGATACACAGGAATTTACAATGCAAAACCCCTTTGTTAGAAGATGATTCAGATTATCTCAGCCAAACAGAAAGCATGATTGTGTTTTCAGTTACCCAGCGTGTTTGCTGCAGCTAATAAATATACTCTCACTCCCAAAGAACACCTTCCAGGAAAGAGAAGGGCTCATTCGACAGCTCTTTTCTTTTACATTTGAAAAATGTATTTATGAGGCTATCCATGTCCATCGACCCTTCTGCACTTGGGACACTCTTTGAAGTGCATGTCCCTGTAGTGTAGAACGTTGAGTATTTTTAACATAGATCAGTCGTCTATCTCCAGGTTTTATCATGTCGCCCACAGCTAGTGTATCTGAGTACCTGTCATATAAAAGTAATAGCAATAATAAAGTCTCTAGTGGGCTTTAAGAAGTCTCTGGCTCTCCTCCCTACTGGGAATAAAAACTGAATTTAGGGTTGGGATTTTGTTTTTAATTTTTTATATTTTATTATTTTTGGTTTGTTTACTTAGTTAGGCTAATTTGTTGCAGGGTGATGTTTTGATGGCTTGCAGGGGACGGATGGGGGGTTCTTTGTCTGGTTCTTTGTTTTTGTTTTTTTTCAGTTAGCTGGGCTTTTCGCTTTGCTTGTTTGTTTAGTTGGTCTTTTTGAAGGGAACGGGGTAGCTGTGTTGTGAGCATCAAAATCATTTGCAAAAGCTCCGAGCTGCTTGCTGGGTTATTTGCATCTGCCTGTGGACAGTGTCAACTCACTACTTTTGCCACTCTTTTTTTGTTTGTCAGAGAGCAAAACACTTTATTTTCTTGTTGTCTGTAATCACTTGTTGTCTAACGGTTTCACCACAAAAGAACCAGCCTTTGTTAATGAACTTCCTCGCTCACTGAACCACGGGGGGAAAAAATAGCATACATGTTTTTGTAATGTAGATCTAAATATACCTCCTTATTTTCTCTCTTTTTTCTTCTAAAGATCATTTTAGCCCATCTGCACAAAAAGACGTTACGAAGCATTTGTAGCTCTGTGGCCCTAGTCCTGCAAACACTAGTACAGACATGTGCTAACTGTATTCCCAGGAGTAATCCCATTGATTTCAGTGGGACTCCTAAAGGGAATAAAGTTAAGCCCTGGCATACGTATTTGCCTAAAACTGTATTTATGAGGGCTCAGTGGGCCATATCATGCCTTCCATGAGAAGATAGCACAATATGGTACAATACTCTTTGCATTCTCTGTCCCCTGTGACAGTGGCTCTTAACCTTTCCAGGCTACTGTACCCCTTTCAGGAGTCTGATTTGTCTTGCATACCCCCAAGTTTCACCTCACTCAAAAGGTACTTGCTTACACAATCAGACATAAAAATACACAAGTGTCACAGCACACTATTACTGAAAAATTGCTGACTTTCTCATTTTTACCATATCATTATAAAATAAATCAATTGGAATATAAATATTGTACTTACATTTCAGTGTACAGTATAGAGAGCAGTATAAACAAGTCATTGTCTTTATGAAATTTTAGTTTGTACTGACTTTGCTAGGGCTTTTTATGTAGCCTGTTGTAAAACTAGGCAAATATCTAGATGAGTTGATGTACCCCCTGGTAGACCTCTGAGTACCCCCAGGGGTACACGTACCCCTGGTTGAGAACCACTGCCTTATGGCATTTTCCCCAATAGTGACAACTGAACCTTAAGAGATTTGGAGGATTAGCTGGGATATGTATCTGTCTGAAATGCTTTGGGTTGTGATTCTGCAGTCCTCACTCAGGCAAAATTTCCACCTACATCAATGGGAATTTTGCCTAACGAAGCAACAGGCGCTAGCCCTGAGTTTGGAAATAGGGCTGAAAAATCTGACCCAGACATCTGATCCCAAGAGACTCTCCGCTCCTTGTTTGAGTCTGGCCGGAAATACTGTGACTCTCTGCATGGCTTATCTATTTTTGTTTTCAGCTCGGAGCCGGGAGATAGGAAACAATTTTCTCAACTTCACCAAAGGGGGTGTTTCAGTTTGGGTTTAGCTCTAATTTAGTGCAAATCGTTTACATATCTCTCACCATCACCTGAATGTATCTCATTTAAATAATTCATATCAGTCTTACTAATGTTACCCAGAAAGCCTCTTTAAACCATTTCGAACAATGACCTTCCCGTGAAAGCTCCCGCGTGATGTAACATATAGTTGTAAAGTGGGGGTCCAACTCTTTAATGAATGAATCTGATTTAGCCTTAGCTGACACCCGACAGAGGGGTTGACCTTTCCTTGCAGCATAGGCATCTGCCTGCCTTTGTCCAAGTGCTGTGGAGAAGAACTGGTCACAAACTGGGGTGATTTTTACAAAGACATTTTTGACGTTTTGTAGGAAAAATCTAAAACTTTTTGGTTTTTGGGTTTTCAACAAATAGTCGAAATTTTCCGAGGAAAGCAGATATTTTTTCAGCAAAAAAAAATTTCTTTCAGATCCACTTTTCCACTGAAAATGGTTGCGATGGAAAATCTCCCATCAGCCTCAAGGTCCTGCTGGGCTCCTTACTAATTTGATGTGTCTGAGTAGCACCACTGGTGAGAAATGCCCTTTTCCGCTTTGAGCTTGGTAGGAGACTTCCCCCTTTCTTTCAGATGATGAACTAACTGGCCATAGTGACCCACATGTTCACTGGTTTAGGGACAGACAGAGGAAACAAGAGGTGGGTTAAACAAGCAACAAACTAAATGTCATGGCACAAATAAGGAGGAGATAGCCAGAAAGAAGATCAATAGTAATGGAAGAGCCCGATAACAGGCAGAGAGGGGCATTATATCCTCCTTGTGATGGGGTGTATAGACCCTACAAGACAGCAGACACTAAAGGGTTAAGACAGGAAGCAATCACTTCCCCAGCGGCAGCTAAATGGCAGGTTTAACAGCTGGGATAAAAAGCTGCAACCCGACTGGAGTGGGGCAGCTGCCAGAGAGATTCTGGGTACGTCTACACTGCATGGCTGATCCAGGTCAGCTGACACAGGGTTGCAGGGCTCGGGCTGCAGGGCTATAAAATCTCAGTGTAGACGCTCGGGCTCTGACACCTTCCTCTCTTGCAGGGTCTCAAAGCCTGGCTCCAGCCTGAGCATCTATACTGAGATTGTATAGTCTCACAGCCTGAGCCCAGCAAGCCCGTGTCAGTTGACCCTGGTTCTGAGACTTGGCGCCGCAGGTTTTTTATCTCAGTGTAGACGTACCCAGAGAGGGACCGGGGGGGGGCGGGGAGTTCCACAGGGTCAGATGGGAAAAAGCTACCCAGGCAAATGAATTCCCTGCCAGTACCTGTCAAGTACAGAGGTAGGAAGCAGCTCAGGGAGGCAGTCGGAGATTTAAACAAAAACAAGTCTTTTTGACTGCCTAACATAGGATCCCTGGTCTGGCACCCAGAGGAAAGGGCATGCCTGGGTCCCCCTGCCATCCCCTCGTGGAAGGGGGTAGAGATTGGTGAGACACCAGACCTGGGTGGCAGCACTAACTTTACTTTTTGTTCCTGCTTTAATTTCTTTTGCTTCGGCCTGCTGAAGAAGGGACTGAAGAAACCTGTAAAAGGGCCCCACCAGAGCCAGGGGTAGGAGAAGCCCTAAGGCAAGGATTCCACCGGGGACCAGCAGAACTGTGGGGTGAGGTCCCGTACAACCCCTGAAGGAGAGAGACCCGGCTGGAGTCTCGGAGGAAGGCTGAGTGATACAGCTTCCATCCCAGAATGGAGCACAAGAAACTGAGGCAGGGGTGCAACCATGATTCTACAATGGACCACCAGGGGGCACTCCAGGACCGAGTCCCCTACCACTACGCACCTCAGTCAGGCCACGTGCCATGGCATAGGTGGCATAGCAGGTTCTCATAAAATCCATGACACCTCTACAGCCTTGTAAATGCGATGCCAGAAAGGACCAATCCTGCGCAGATTCATGCCCCAGTGGGTGTTCTGGATGTGCACAGGTTGCAGGATTGGATCCAACCTGCAGAGTAAGAAGATTGGTGACATGGCAAAGTCCAACCTCTCCCATATTCGGGAAATACATAAAAGGAGGCGTTAGTTCTGTCATTTCTGAAACAAGCTGCAGCTTTCACTTTGGTGATTTAAATGGCGAATAAAGTCCTCCAAGCCTGGCCTCCAAATGATCATTACTGGTTAGTGTTATGCTGTCAGGAAATACAGAAGGATGGGTGGGTGCAGGAAGTAACTCCCTCATTTTTTCATGCCATGTGCTGGATGCATTGTACCTTGCAACATTGGCACATTAACCAACGTGGCATACTATTCTGACCCTTTAGAACCCAACACTGCGTGCTGTATTTGGTAGAATATTTTCTTCTGTGTTGTCCTATCTTTGGGTATTTATACTTATCATCATTATGAGCCAAATTTTCAAAGGCATCGGAATTAAGGGCATAAATACCATAGAAAATCAATGCAACTTTGATGCTTTTGAAAATGTACCCTACAGTATCTCGGGGTCTGATATTAATTCATCAACAGTCAGCAAGAAATACAGCATCCTTTGTGGGTTCCTCCCCCCTCACCTACCCTCCCCCTGCCCCCTCCCCCAGTCAGTTGATATCCATCTACACCACAGCACACTCTCCTGGGCCGTGTTCTTCATCAGAAATGACCCTTCACTGAAGCAGCGTGTCAGACTTTCGTTGTGTTTTCTACAAACATGCTCTTTGCCAAGTATCTGATTTTCTCTTCCATGGGTAAAACTCCTTGTGTTACTGAACAGCATTCAGAAAATAGCCAGTGCAAGAGGATGTGGACTTTTGTGGTAGCTTAGGAGAGTTTTGCTGCAGTTTAGATGCACTTCCATTCACTTGTGCTAGCTTTAGCATGGTTTCTAGTAGTCACGCTGCAGCCACTTTTACAGAGCATAAGTATTATCAGACTAAATAAGTTTTATTCCGGAACCATCCCATTTGTCTATGGCAGAGAGAGACTCAATGAAAGCTGACTAAAACGACATAATCTGTTTTATTTCTGCAGTGTTGGGAGCACAGTTATCTCTGTACCCGACTCAGCAATTCCTGTTTGTCGAAATTAGTGCTACGGCAAAGATCCCTTGTTCTTCCAAAGAAAAACTGGAAGGAGGTGGCATTTCGGTTTATTGGTACAGGAGAAGAGAAGGTGAGGGGCCCACCTGCATCAAGAAATGCTTAAATGATCAAAATGTAAGTAAGTTTGCCTGCAAACCCGAGACACACGGCATGACACTGGAAATCTACAACGTCCAGCAGAACGAGACTGGTGACTATTACTGTGCAGTTAAATCCAGCAGCTATCTGATTTTCGGCAATGGATCCACACTGATTGTTGGAGGTAAGGAAAGATAATGGTGTAACGCAAGGGGAAAAGGGATTAACAATGCAGAGATGTTTAAAAAAAAAAAAAACCCAGGAAAATGGAACATGGTACAACTTTCAAAGCTGAAATGGTTGAAAAGGAGAAACTAAGCTGAAAAATAACAACTAAATGTCGCCGCTTAGAAGCAGATTCTGCATTTTTAGGGGACTCAATTAATTTTTTCCCTTTAATGGTCAAAGATGGCAGATTTTGTTTAAAAAAGCACTTTAGTTTTACCCTCATCATTATTTATTGCTGCCAGATTGTTTTGGACCTAACAGCCACAAATACATCTAGTAACATTTATTCTTTTCTTTTTGCAGAATTTTTTACTTTGAATGAATCCCCATCTCATGAGATTAACGGCTGGTCCGTTACACTAGTGTAATTGTATTGACTTCAGTGGAAGTGTACAATTGTAACAAAGTAAAATTGGTGCCTTTAATTAGATAATAAACAGATGGTAGGTCTGTTGTGAGTCAGATGCAGGATGGAACAATAAATTCTCTGCTTTATTCTGCTCAGACAGCTACACCGCGAGCAGCTGCGTTTTGCTTCTGGTTCCATCTCCCCACAGCCTCATTTCCACTGGGATGGTTGATCTGGCTTGCATTGTCCACGGAGTCTCCAACCCAGTCCAAATTTCCTGGAATATTTCTGGGGATCGGCAGGAACAGGCACGAATGCGATCACTGAAAGCAAAGGATGGATCCTTAATGCTCATAAGTCACATTAGCATCCCAAAAGACACCTGGACCAGTGTGAAAATTTTCACATGTGAAGTCAAATTCAACTCTTCTGGCAACAGAGTTAAGAAAAGTGCCAGGTATTTTGAACGTGAGTGATTTTATATTTGCTTCTGGAACTAAAAGAAATCACGACTTTACTTAACGTGCAAGGCGAGTAAATAACGGATGACACAGAGAGAAGGCTGAAGTGTTTAATGCATTTTTTGCTTCAGTCTTCACTGGAAAGGTTAATTGTATCCAGTTGCTTAACACAATCAATATTAACAAAAAGGAGGAAGGTTCTCAGGCCAGAGTAGGGAAAGAACAGGTTAAAGAATATTTAGATAAATTGTATGTATTTAAGTCAGAGGGGCCTGATGAAATTCACCGTAGTGTGGTAGAGAGAGAGTGCTTGGAGCACTGGGCCTGGTGCAAGACCTGAGGCCGGACCTAGAGGCTGTGAACCAAAGTCAGGCTATGTATTAAAGCAGATGCTTACAAGTTCACTGTCAGGTACATGAACTTGGCAAAGTTGCTAAAACATAGCAAGTAGGAAGTACTAGGCACTAGATATTTACGTAAATACATTCCAGAAGGCTAGTACATATCCACCCTAATCTAGTACAAGATGAGATGGTTTGACAGAACAACAAATAAGGATGTTTTGTCCGAGATATTAGGAACAAGATACAAGGGGAAGTAACAAAGAGATGCCATGAGACACATAAGGTGGTACGGAAGTTGTTTATCTCCGTTGTTTGTCTGTGTCTATAAATGTTGGGGGACCTTGCCTTAATCCTTTGTGTGGCCGAAGGGACAGCAGAAATGCCCACTGCTGACTGAGCCGCTCCTGGCTAGGGGGCACTCATTGGTTAATGTACTTGTGTGAGTCGTTAGGACTGTGACTTGAGGACAATAAACCTGGCCGAGTGCCTTTGTCACCAAGCCGTGCCTGTAGTCTTTCCCTCTGAGCAATGTAGAGATCTGCTGAATTCACAGGCCGCGCTCTCTGCTGGTGCTGATAACGCCAGAGCTCCAGGGACAGGAGCACTGAGCAGCCGTAACAGCTCAGCAGCCTTGAGTCCACACCTAGGATACTTAAGGAAGTAGCTGATGCAATCTCATTAGTGATCATCTTCGAGAATGCATGAAGATGTTTGTAACTTTGAGGTTCTAGTGTAGCTAAGAACTTGAACATGCTACCTAGGGAGGTTGTGGAATCCCAGGAGGTTTTTAATAACAGGTTGGACAAACGCCTGTCAAGCACGGTTTAGGTTTGCTTGATCCTGCCTCAGCACTGGCGCCTGGACTTGAGGTCTTCTCGAGGTCCCTTCCAGCCCTACATTGCTCTGATCCTATGACTTGTAAACTACATGGGTGGAATCCTGGCCCCACTGAAGTCAATGGCAAAAATCCCATTCACTTCAATGGAACCAGGTTTGTAAATTAAGCCAATGAGTTTAACGAAACGGTGCAAACATGACTGTCCCAGCTCCTGATGATCCACTGGAGTCTGCTTCCTCCACAGTCCATCCCAGCTGGTGTGTGCCGCAGATATTGCACCACGTGGTGGCAGTTTTCCTGTTGGGGTTGATGGTGTCTCTGAGTCTGGCTTGGATTCGCCGCTGTTCCACTCCAGGTAATCAACACATCACAGTCCATGCTAGATGGAGAGACCTATAGGCTCAGCAGCCCTATTAATATTTGGGCTGACTTCTCACACAGACACAAACTGAAAACAGTTCTATCAGTCCCTTCTGCTCGGCCTTGCTGAACATGTTCCTTCCTGCTGCTCAGCAACTCTTCGGTAGAGAAAAGCCCTATATTCAGCCAGGGAGTCACTGTTGCATCTGAGGACTGACACACTATTTAGATCAGTCATCGTTTGCTTTATCACCCCGGGCCAATTTCTACCCGAAACAAGCAGGTGAAACTCCCATGGGAATCTCTGGGCAAATTCCATTGGGATGTAAATTACACAGCAGAGGCCTGGTTACCCCATGAGTTGTAAATGCACAACTCCCATTGAAATAGCAGGATAATCTGACTCTGGGTGTAAATTGGTGAGAAAACACATGTAGGGGGTGAAGCGGTTTAACTTGCACCAATGGGCCTATTGCCACTCTTTTGACTCAAGCGGCCAGTCAAATTTCAGGGCCTTCGGGTTCCAGCTGGAAGTAGAAATTGATGGACTCTAGTGTTTTCTTTGTTCATTCCTTGTAAATAAACAAGATTGCATCAAAGTCCTGCTTCTCAAATGCATGAGGAACCAAGAACAAAATGGGAAGTTTCTAAGGGCATGGCTACAGTTGCAGATGTAGAGCGCTTTGAGTTAAAGCAGCCTTCGGAGAGCGCAGTAGGGAAAGCGCTGTTTTCTGTCCACACTGACAGCTTCAAGCGCACTGGCGTGGCCACATTTGCGGCATTGGGAGCGGTGCATTATGGGCAGCTATCCCAGCATGCAAGTGACTGCAACGTGCTTTTCAAATGGGGGTGGGAGGGAGTGTTGTGTGTATGTGGGGGGGGGGGAGAGGGTTTTTGGGGGGCTGAGAGCATGTCAGCATGCTGTCTTGTAAGTTCAGACAGCAGCAGACCCCCCTGCCCCCCGCCTCTCTCTCTCACACACAGCATTCCACACTAATGGTTGCTTTGTCTCGGAGCAGATAAGCAGCCGGCTGTCAGAAACGGAGCTTTGAAAGGGCATATCCGCATTCCTGCAGCCGATTCAAAACAATGCCACTTGACTTAAGGGGATTATGGGACATTTCCGGAGGCCGATCAGAGCGCAGTAATGCAACACCCCGTTCACACTGGCACAACAGGTCTCCAGCGGAGGCACATCAAATGTTATTCCACTCGCCGAGGTGGAGTACCAGGAGCGCTCTAGCCATGGAGTCAGAGCGCTTTACGTGCCTTGCCAGTGTGGAAAGGTAGTGAGCTAGGCTGCCCAGTGAGCTAGGCCGCCCATGGCTGCTTTAATGCACTCTAACTCGCAAGTGTAGCCAAGCCCTTAGCTAACATCCCCAAGCCTCTTCAGCCAATACTGGGCCCAAAATCTCTCTCTCCAGCTTTTTCCAGGGTCATGCTACTCACAGGCTGCTGCCTGGCTTTCCTGCTCTTTGCCTCTGCCTCTCTGTTCTTGTCTGTTCTCTGTTTCTGTGTGTTTTCCCTGCATACACCCCACACAAGCAATACTCAGCAAGCCCCCTCTGCCTACTTAGTCAGCGTGGGTTCATAACTCCCTTTTGCCGTAGGTGGGGGCATTCTGCTTAATTCATCCCGAGAGCTACCTTAATTGAAGGGTGCATTCACACCTAATCGCAGAGGTTTGTAATCCAAACTGTCATGAGTACCTCTCCGCATAATGCTACTGTTTGCTGGTTGTGGAAAAGGAGTGAATTTAGGATGCATACCATTTGCCACTATAATTCTCCTGGAGCTGGATTTACACCCTAGATGAATTTGGCCCATTCAGTCTGTTTTGGGAATACGGTAAAGGAGGGAGAACTGCAGCCTCAAGGGAGTTAAAAGGTGCATTAAAAACTATCTGAATCCTAAACTCTGTTTTCAGCCATGTGCTGAACTCTTAAAGCAAGGTTTCCACAATGGTTTATGTGCTAATAATGTGCACCGTTTGCAAGAGAAGCAATAAAGCTTAGTAACCCATTTGAAACTGTGTCAAACTCGAACAGTTATCTGACCTTCCATGGAGGTGACTAATGGTACGAAATGTTGTCAAACAGGCTCAAAGGGTTTATGCCCAAGTGAAGTTTCAGTCAAGGAATCACAACCAGATCAGGATGCAGTGGCTGATGGACGAGAAAAATCATAACCCACACTGAGATCCGAGCCTGGAAACTCACAGCTCACTCACTGCGGACCTCAACGACGGCAGCCATTTTGTAAGATGGTGTCTTTCTGTAAAAGCTGTTGGTTTGTTTTTACTGCTTCTGCTCTTCACTGCTGCTGCATGTGGCTCAGTTGCAAAATATAATTAAAAAGTAACCCGACTTGTCTACCTCCTAGAGTATAAATAGCAGGAAGTCACAGAAAGAACCAAACCTGTGGAGGTGAGAGATTTCCTGCTGCGATAGGCAAGACATTGTCATGCCTGTGAGGGGGCTGCTGGCCCCTTCCTGACACTTACTGGGGTTCTTTGGTCGGCCCTTTCCCAGTACCAAAAGAAAGGGGACGGGCCGATGAGAAACTGACAGTCCTCGGGGTCAATGGGGAGAGGCCGATGCACCAAGTCAGCTAGATTGACAGGGCAGGCAGGCCAATGAGGGAGCCAGGAGCCTGGAGGGCCCGTCCTCCGTCTGAGGTTTACCTCCCTATGGCAGACTCAGTAGGGCCGAGCTAAGTGGAGAGCAGCAGCCGGAGCTGAGGTCGAGCCAGAGGGGTCAGGGAGCAGCCCAGATGGCAGAGCTGGGTTGGGGGCAGAGTTGGGCTGGGGGCAGAGCAGACCGGGCTGAGCTGCAGCGGGGAGCTGCTGGGCCGGAGCTGGGGAGTGGACGCCGGCCCCGCCGCACGTAACACTGGAGCCGAGCGCGCTGAGCGGCTGGCGAGAGTGAGGGGGACTCTGGGCGCAGGGAGACGTCGCCAGACAAGAGGCCTCGCAGGCCAGACTCGGAGCAGGGACGTGAACCCGATGGGATGGCTGGTGCTGGGGAGAAGGGTCCTGCCATCTAGATCCTGAGGGCGAGTGGCCACCCCCGGAGCAGGTGTCTGACCCGGGGTATCACCGCAGCACAGCCAGGGCCTGGGACATGTGAGGAACAGACGGTGAGCTCCCCTGACATCCCAGAGCCGGCTGGTTGTGCTGTCTCCTGTGCCCACCGGGTGGAGTTCCTTGTTCCCTTTAACCTTTCCCATTTTTTCCCCAATTTTTTTTTACAGTTGTTGTTTAGTGGATTGCATTGGGTTTGAACTATCTGTAATGATCCGGGGGTCAGGGAAGCGTCCGGTGTGGAGAGAGGACCCCAGAGTGCGGACACCCTCACCCCTGTCCCGTGCAGCAAAGTCCTCACATCCTCGACAAGACTGGGGCTTCAGCCTCCCAGGAATCCTGGGCCCAGCCTTGTTGGCGTTTTGCCGCATGGGAGACTGGAAAGGGAGTCCTCAAGCTCAGACAGGCATCTGGGTAAAGGGAGTTGGAGCGAGGACTCAGATCCGTTCGATGGCCAATTCCATCGGGTTAGTGTATGAGCCAGGAAAGTTCCCCACTTCCTCCCTGAGCTCAGTTACTCAGGCTGGGCGCTAGTAATAGGAGTTGGGGCGTAGGGCCTGCCTTATTCACACATTCCGTCACAGTGAACTCAGCTACTCTCATGTCTAATCCGAGTCCTTAGTGGTTTCGAAAGGGGAGGTGGGAGGTTGTACCCACGAGAAACTGAACATTCACCTGATTGGGCGTGAGACTCAGGTGTGTTACCAGTGGCACAAGGAGGACCAGAAAAACCTAGATGCAGAACCAGCCGGGGCCCCCTGACGCGCACAGCAGATGGAAGGGGCAGAACCAGACTGAAGTGACTCTTTCCAGCTGGGTGGAGGCTGCTTTTGGCTGCCTCCTAGGAGCTGCCATCAGCAGGACCGTGCCGCCCGGCCAGCAGTATCGTTCCATGGTGTGAGGGGAGATTATGAATGGGAAACTGTGTCTGGACGGAGCTGTGTGAGGTCAGGCTCTCTCCACATCCCTGTCCTGGAGCAGCTACTCCAACGAATTCCTTGGGAAACTGCTGCTTTCCCTGAAGGGGTCGATCCACAGGGCCTCGTGCCAGCACCCATCTATCTTCTCTCAGTAACAATGCTTTATCAATGGGAGGGGCTCCCCCAGCCACGGAGCCTGCACATGCCGCCTGGTTTGATACTAACTCCTCATTTTGAATCTGTAATTCTAAATGTTGCTCATTAAAAAATATGCCACTTCCTCCCTCGTGTTTCAGTTCCTTTCTTTAGCAGCTGAGATGCACGACGCTCAGCATATTATATGTGACAGGTGACCTCTACATTCTTTGGGCCCGTACTGCTCTCACTGACGCTGGTGTATACCAGTAGAGAGGAACTCTGCTGAAGGCAGTGGAGTTACTCTGGGTTTACAGGGGGTCACTGAGAGCAGAAGATGGCCTTTTGTCTTTCATTTAGGGCCAGGCGATGAACCTCTCACTCCCATTGGGGAGCCATTATGCACAGCAGGGGTGCCACTGAAGTTCCAGGGACTGCTCACATCCGTACCGTCTCACCCGTGTGGGTACAGGTGTTACAGTCTGACCCTTAACATACATGTTCTGTTACTGGCTGCTAAACCAGCCCTGTGGCTCACCACAAGTGATAATAGCTCACCTTAACTGATCACTCTCGTTATAGTGTGTATGGTAACACCCATTGTTTCATGTTCTCTGTGTGTATATATATATCTTCCTACTGTATTTTCCACTGCATGCATCCGATGAAGTGGGCTGTAGCCCACGAAAGCTTATGCTCAAATAAATGTGTTAGTCTCTAAGGTGCCACAAGTACTCCTGTTCTTTTTTTAGTAAAAATATGAACATACAGGCCTGATTCTGATCTAAGTACTGACTCCAATGCCACAGCACGGCCAGCCTTGGGCTGGGCTCCCTTTAGATTACTCCCTCCATACACGGTGAGTGCTTGGATGGGAAACCTCCTCCGGTATAGGAAGTAGC